CACCGCTGACCCTTGTTGTTGTTAAGTGCCGTTGAGTCGATTCTGACCCATAGCAACCCTTTATAGGGTCTCCAAGGAGTAGCTGGTGAGCTTGAACCACCAACCTTGCAGTTCAAACAACTTTGCAGTCTGACACATTAGCCCACAGCGCCACACGAGGACTGCTTAGTAGGGGTTTTATAGAAGTCAGTAGCTTCCCAACTCAATCATCCCCGTGACCAGCTCAGGCTTGAGGTGGTCATGTGACTTGCCCATGTTCACACACTGAGCCACAGCAGGCTTCCAAGCAAGTCTGTCTGCTTCCCAGAGCTGTCCTGTGCCTCACACGAGGTCCCTGGTGCAGCATTTACAATAAGAGTGAGTGCTATTTTTTTTCCTGGTATCGCCTTTCTAAACCACAGAGTTAGGCAGTGTACTTACATCATCCCTCGAAGCAGGCAAATGAGGTTGAGAGACTTTGAGAAGAGTACTTGCCCCAAACAGTAATTGTTGAAGCTGAGATGGTGGGGAACCATGTGTAGTCCTGCCTCCCCAACCTCAAGGCCTTCTTTGCAGCAGGGGTGGGAACTAAGAAATCATTTAGCTGATACTAGTTAATTGGTCTAATAATACATTTAATGTTTCTGTTTACCTTCTAGTTCATTTTGTAATGCCTGGGGTCTTAAAAGCTTTCAAGTGGCCATGTAAGACACAAAAGGTCTTTATTCACCTAGAACAACACAGGAAGAAGACTGAAGAATAGACAGAGAATTGTATTGTTTGACTAATTGCCTCCATGAACAATTGCCTTCAGAAGAACTGAATGGATGCCAGGCTACTACTATTGAACATTATAGATTAAAATGCTATTGATGAACCGTGATCAAAAGGGGGTTAATGTAGAACAGAAGTTCAAATTCCCATGGACTCCAGATTTCCTGTAACCATGAAGATTGAATGAACCTTGAAATTACTGCCCTGAGATAATTTTTAAACCTTAAACCAAAAAATATTCCCTGAAGTATTCTTAAAAACAATAATTTGTTTTTTTTTTTCAAAGTCTGCCTCTTTACTATGCTTTTTAAAGAATTATTTATCCGAAATCACAGTGACAACAGCAACTTGAAAGATTAAATAGTAACCTTAGGGGGCTTTGAATTTATGTCAGTGGTGGAGGAATAACTCAAAAAAGGAATGTGAGAAAGTCTGCACAGTTTGAAGAATGTCATTTCTAAATGGGACATGTAGAAACGGTTGAATTGGTGTGTGTTTTGCTGAGTTTATATAGTCTCAACAAAAAAAAAGAACGAAATCATGAGTCTGGGTGTCTTAAAGGAGTCCTGGAGGAAAAACTGCCCTACAACAGGAAAGTAAACTACTTGAGCCTCTGCCCGAATCCTCAACTCCCCACCTCCCTCTCCCCCAGCCCCACCCCTTCATCTGCAACTGAAAGACCTCTCCTCCCACTGAACACAACGACTTTTGACCAATCTCAGAACATCCCACTGCGGGGGCAGGGAGCTGGGAATTTTGAATAGAGGTAACAATTTTACTTCTGGTAGCGTAGTGGTTACGAATCGGGCTGCGAACATTAAGGTCAGCGGTTCGAAACTACCAGCCGCTCCGCGGGAGAAAGATGAGGCTTTCTACTCCCGTAAGGATTTACACCCTCGGAAACCCTGTACAGGGTCGCTATGGGTCGGAACCGACTCGAAGGCACTTAACAACAACAACAACGGGAGACTGGGAGTTGGGGCAGGGTGTGTGTGTGTGTGTTTCCATCCCTTTTCCTGCCAAGCTTTATCTTTGCCTGAGAATCCACACAACTCCCCAGGGATTTAAGCTACACAGCTGCTGTGTATCTCTCCACTGACGGGCCAGAAATGAGCCTGACTTCCAAGTGTTTATGTTTTAAGTAAGCATTTTGTCTGAGCCTCAGTGGTAGCCCCTGGGGAGGTGTGCTGAAGGAACTGTGGGTGTGGAGAGGCAGGGAACACCACTGCTAACCGTTCCCACCAAAAGTAGGCTGGGGAGAAGTGACACATGCCAAGTCACGTGAAGGATAAGGGAAGGGGACCAGCCTTTGTGACTGCCCCACCTCCGGATGCCATTTTTCTAGAGATAGGTGAATTTCCAATCTCTCCCTCCCTCTTTGCCGCCCCCCCCCCCCAAGGTGGCAGGCTTGGAGTTCCTTAGTGAACAAGGACAGTCAGGGAAGGAAATTAAATTCACCTCACTATTGAACCCCCTACCATCATTTAGAGTCCTGGTGTGGCACTGTGGGTTAAGCGCTGGACTTGCAAAGTTAGTTTGAATCGCAAGGTCGGCGGTTCAAGCTTACCAGCTACTCCTCATATACCCTATATAGGGTCGCTGTGGGGTGGAACCTACTGGACAGCACTTAACAACTATCTTCTGCACTACTACCCAGATGAGGGTTTATTTTTTATTTATTTATTTTAGGTTAGATGTAGACTTTACCCTCAGGGACCTCAGAGCTGAATCAGGGAGACAGACACCCACATGTGATAAATTAAGGAAGGACAGCAGTAGGGACGGTGGGGATTGAGGGAATAAGGCAGGGAAACATCAACCGAGCCTGGGCAGTGTTAGGGAAGGCTTCACGGAGGAGGTGGCATTTGACCAGGGTTTTGTTGAATGAGGAGGAGTTTGCAAGGTAGAGAGTGCATTCTGGCAATGGGAAAAGCTAGCTGGGAGGCAGGATGGGCATTAGGGTGCGTCGCGTGAAGGGTGGGTGAGGGTGGGTGAGGGAGGGTGTCCCAGAACTGGCTTAGGTATGGGGGACTGGGCTTAGGCCGGGCACTGGCTTCAGTGACCGCAGCGTGGAGGGCAAGCCCAGGCTTGGTGCGGACTCGAGGGCGTGGAGGCCTTGGTCACGCTGGTCACCGCTGGGGGCCTCCCCGCGGGTCACAGTCTACCCACTGGGATGGGGAGGGGTGTCGGCTGGGCTGACTGAGGGGTGACGGGGCGGGGCAGAAAACCAGCGGCTGGGAGGGCGAATCCAACCTCCGCGGGCGCTCGGAACTGCCGGCCGACCTGCCGGGCTGGGCTGGGGTGGCACCGACGGAGCGGCGCTCTCGGAGACTGGTAGGACGGCGGGGGAAAAGGAGCCTGGCGGGCTCTGCCAGCTCACCGAGAAAACCGTGGCGGGGGCGGCGGGGGCGCAGAGGTGGGAGTCCGCCCGCCGTGAGGAAGCGCAGGACCCCTCGCGTCCCTTGGCTTCCTCTCCGCCGGAGGCGCCCCTCGAGAGACCCCGCGTTCACTCTCGAAAGTGCCGCTGGGCGCCAGGTCCCGGACCTCCGACCGCGACCGCTGGCGCACCTGCCCTGCAGCCCCGTGACTCACGTGGGAAACTGGAGGTTCGCTGGGCGCGTTCGCAGGCGCCGGGGGTGCACGGGGCAGCGCGTAGTTCCGGGCGACTGTGGGGTCGCAGCCCCCGGCGCACTGGAACCCCCAGTTGCGAATCCCAGGCGAGCTGCCCGCGGGCGGGCAGGAGCAGAGCCGGTAGCCGGCGTGCGCCCCCGCCGGGATTTCTGTCGGTCGCCTTCGGACCCTGTCGGCGCAAACGCGGCTCCGGAACACCGGGTTTCCAGAGCCCACGGCAGGCAGCAGGGAGGACGTGGCCGCCCAGCCCGCAGAGTAGATAAAGCCTGGTGGGCCAAGACCCAGGGCTGACCTTGGAGTCATGCGGTTTTTGTGGATGTTTTGACCATTAAATGAGTTGGAAAACATTTTAAGTTTTTAGTCTTTGGGGACTTTGGAATTGCAGATATGAGGATCGTGGTCCAGCGATAATTGTAGCAATGCCTCCTGTTGTTTCTTCTGTCTCTCTCTTAGTCGTGCTTCTCCCGCCCTAAAGCCTCTTAGCTTGGTCTGTAGCCCTCGGATGCTGCTCCTGAAGGAAAGCCGGCTTCCCGGCTCAGGGATGCTTGTTTAGACGCTGCAGGGCCGGTCAGAGGCAGGGGCCTGGGGGGCAGGCAGGGGCAGGCAGCACACACCCCTGCTAACCCCAGGAATCTCTTATTTGTGTGAGAAAAAAAAAAAAAAAAAAGCCCGAAATGAATCACTCTGTCACTCTGTATGCCAAATTAAGGAGTAGATGCGTGGTTAAACGTGCCAGGTTACATTCTGTTGAACTTGGTTTATATATGCTCAGTTATATCCTTGTAAACTGAAGTCATTTAATACTTTTTTAAAAATTAAAGAAAGCACTATTATAATTACAGATTTTTAAATTCGAACGCACAAGCTAATATTTATCTCATTTCTTTGACTGAGCAGGGCACATTGTTGTCACACTCCCATATGGCGACATGCACATGCATGCACACATACTGCACAGATTTACATAGACTGAACACATACGCGCACATGTACCGTGCGTGTGCATACTGCAGAAGCACACATTTGCGTGCACGTGCACAGTAACAATACTGAATATGCATGCAAATGGCTATAGGCACATACACTGCATGCATGCACCCAGCCCTGCACCCATACACTGTATGTATGCACACACACTGAACACGCACAGACCAGTCTGCACGCAGACACCGCACATACTCTGTCCACGCACACTACACACCTGGAGCCTGCTTGCCGCACTTCACCTGTGCAGGGAAATGCTGGCGTGGATGTAAACGCTGATGGAATGGCTATTTCAAAGGAATCTTTTCCTGAATTAAAACCACAGCAAGTTCCATTATTTGATCTGTTTTTCAACCACAGAAGTATTTTTAATGGCTCCTTTTCACCCTGAAACTCAGAAACAAGTTGTTCCTCAACTTTTGTGGGTGGCAGATGACCTTGTTTCCACACGTCGCTGGTGGGGAGCACTCACATTATATTCCCCTCTATGCACCATGGCACTCCTGCTCGTCCCTCTGCCACCTAGGGCAACCGAGGAGAAGGAGTGACACACACCGCCCTTGCACTGGGGACGCTGCTGCCCTGCTAGCTCAGGGCCACCCGCTTTAACCCAGCCTTTCCCACAGGCGGAGATGCGGCTGCTCCTGCTCTTGCTCCTGCTGCTAGGGTCCTCGGTGAGTGCAACCTAACCCTTGGAAGACCTGCTGGGGGAGGTAGGGAGGGCCTGGAGGACCTTGGTGGTCTTGGGTGGGGGGTGTCGGAGGATACAGGGGAGGATGCCCCACGGCTTGAGACTGGAGAGGAGCCGCCCTGAGCAGGCTGGAGCCAGGTGCTGGCTAGAGCTGTAGTGGCAACGTTCCCAGGAGAAGGGCAATGTGTCAGGGAAGATGAGGTACGAGGAGGGAACTCTTGTCCCTGAGCTCATTCAGAAAAGGGTGGGTGGGGACCTTGAAGTCATCAGCCTAAGGTGCCATGAACTGCTGAACTGGGCTGAGGCTCACAGCTTGCAGAAATGGCCACTTACCACTTCTCTCCCAGTTCAGAAGGCGCTCCTTGGAGCCTGGGCTGCGCTCAAGAACCATGTCCCCCAGGTGGTCTCCCAAGTGGGGTGGGACTAGCCAAAGTGCAAGGCCAGGTGGCCCACCCCACACCTTCATGGGACCAAATATAGCTGCTTCCTCAGCAGACTGTGCCCTAGAGTTTTGGGGTTCTAGTAATTTCTGCTTTCCTTGGGGTTGGCATCTGGAGCAGGACTGCCAGACAGAACTTTCTGAGAGGATGGAAATGTCCAATAAGATATTCACTTGAAATGTAGCTAATGCATCTGAGAGACTGAGTTTTTAATGGAATCTTCTTTTAACTAATTTAAATAAGTATCGTGTTAGTGAAAACAGAGTATACACAAGAAGGAAACTGTGAGCTGAATAGCCTTTAAAAAAACAAAACCTGAGGACACAGAATCTTCTAGATCATAGGGCCAACCTCTGGCAAGGTGAGGGTCTGCAGAAGTAGGTGCTGCCTAGCTTCGTGCCTGGGAGCTCCTCCTGGAATTGGCAAAATGGAAGATGCAAAGGGAGCCAGGCTAGCAGCCTGTCTTGGGCTTGCCCTCTACAGGGGCCCCACAGTCTGAGAGGCAGGCAGGACCCCAGAGGAAAGACCAGAACTGTTTGTTGCTATGTGTGTGTCCTGTGGAAATGTCTCCTGTGGAAATGTGAGTTTAGGATGAGGAGGAGGTGGATCCCTGACCAGGTCTCCTCTGAGAGCCAAGATCCAGACCGGGCCACAGAGCAGCGAGCGGCTAGGTCTGCCCTCCCTCATGTCCCCTCCAAAACTGTGAGTGCCCCACTTCCGAAGTCTTCTGATGCATGTGCCCTCTCTGTGCCTGGGCACAGCAACGGTGCCCAGACCCCAGGATGAAATTCCATGACCAACCCTAGCCTGAGACTCCTTTAATGTGGGTGTAATGAAGCCCACTCCACAGGCTTGTTGTGCGGTGAAATGAGTCAAGGTTACAAGCACCCTGGGTCCTATGAGACCCTTGTCCCTTATAAACACCCTGAGGTGCCTTCTCCTGCCTGCTCCAGCTGGACATCCATGAGCTTCACAGCACGTGTGTCCTGCACCAAGAATTCTTCTCCCCCCACCCTCCCCAGGGTCAGAGGGGCTGTGGCCCAGTTTCAGCCAGTGCCCTCCTGATTTCTGTCTTTGGGTCTTGGTTCCTGTTACTGGTTTTCTCTGGGGGCAGGAGCCATTGCTGGGTCTCAGAGCACCTTTCCTGCTCCCTTTCCCTGTTGACAGAACAGAAGGAACAGATGATTATAGAGATAAAATGCAGACATAGTCTCTGACTTCCTGTCTCCCCCTCCATCCCCATTCCCACCCACCCCCACTCCCCACCCCCGTGCTCCTGGGGCTTGTCAGGGCTATCCTTCCAGAGGATGGACTAGGAGTCTCCACTGGCATGTACACACACACACACACACACACACACACACACACACACATTGGGTGAGTACACTGGGAACAGCTCAAGCCGAAAAAGGGGGTTCCTGTGTTGCTCCAGGTGGGAATTGGAGACTGGGTGGGGTGGAGTGTTTTGGGCTTTTTTTTTCTCAGTCTGCAAGCTGAGAACAGTGTGAGGCAGGTAAGGACAGGCCCAGCTGCTTCACACAATGGTGCTGTTGATGGCTTCATGGTTTTGGTAATTACAGAGAAACAGGATAGAATATTTTCTTGCTTCTAAGAGGCAGTGAGGTATACTGAACAGAGGTCTAGATCAGGCAGGTCAGTCTTAACTGCTGGGTGGCCCCAGCAAGTGGGTGTCTGGGTCACAGTTGCTAGACACAGGGGAACAAGATGATTATAAGGTACCTCACATAGAAGGTGTGGTGCTGTAGGAGAGACACTGGACTGCCAACCACAAGATTATCAGTTCAAACCCACCAGACACTCCTTGGAAAACCTATATAGGGTCACTAGGAGTCGAAACTGACTTGATGGCACTTAACAACAACAGCAACAGTATCAAGATAAGCACTGGACTGCTAATCACAAGGTCGACAGTTCAAACCCAGGGCTGCTCCTCATGAGAAAGACGAGGCTGTCAGCTTCAGTAAAGACTGAGTCTGGGAAACCCCATATAGGGGTCGCCATGAGGCAGAATCGACTCTGCAGTAGTGGGTTTGGGTGTTTTTTTGTTTTGTTGGTGTTCGGGCCAGTTTTCCCTTCCCCTACTCTTATTGTCAGGCGATAGCTCAGGGAAGGCTTGTCCCTTGATACTTTGGCCACACCAGTAAACCCAGGTACTGTGCCACAGGAGCTGAGACTGACATCAACCAGGCCTGGTCCCTGGGGTCGGCTTCCTGACTACTTACAATGTGACAAGAATTTGGAGGTGAGGGTGCTGAAATCCAAGCCTGGTCTGCTGGCTGTCTTTGAGCAAGCTACACACACCCTGCCCCCACTCAATTTCTTCCCTTTCAAAATAGAAAGTTGATCCAAATAAATCTCCATTTTAATTTTGTTGGGAGACATTGCAATATTTGGGTTCACTGGGTTTCAGAAGGCGGAGATGATTTTAAAAGTGAAAGGTCAGATGTTTGGTCTAGCCAGCCCTCCCTCCTGAGTTTTGTGTATGGTTCAGCAGTTTGGCTGTGCTTTGTTCTGATTCAGGGTTCTGAGTTCTATGAAACAAGAATAACTAGGTGTGTGATGTGAGGAGTGTTAAATGAGCACCTGGTAACTGGCGGGCAAGTACACCTCTATCCTCACTGAGATCTTGTAAGGTGACTTGTGGCAGACAACAGGAGGAAGAGCTTGCTTTTCCATTTTAGGACTTGCATTCTTTCCCTGAAAAATGGGGGCGATATTTCCTAGAAATTGTTGGTGACTTGTTTTCAATATACCTTCAGTTTGCTGGCAAAAATGTGAAGTCCAGTCTACAACTTGCCCAGTACCTTAGCACTCTTCTGGTGTTTTCTTTGATTCATACTTTCTCCAGTGTGGTAGGTGAGGACATAGATCAGTATAAGAGCAGAGACTTGTAGTGAAGCCAACCTGCCACTATATTTACTTGTTCCTGTGTAGCTCCCTCTCTCACTGCTTCTGTTTTCTTATCTACACAATGGGATTCTTCAGGTTGTTTTGAGGATTAGATGAGCGAATGTATTCATATGGACTCCTGATACCAGTTGCAAGGTGTCAGATGTTCCTGGTAGGAAACTGAAAGGGTTCAGTTAGAACTATAATGTATTGTTGTTAGATGCCATTGAGGATTTTTGTTTCTTTACATTGAGGTGTAATTCATACTGAATTCATCTTCATCAGTATTTCAAGTCTTCTTGGCTTCCAGTAAGCAAAGTTGTACCTGCATATCACAGGTTGTTAATGTCTTCTTTCAATCCTGATGCCATTGTCTTCTTCATAAAATATTGCTCAGCCTACAGATTCCTGGTGTGATGCTGTAGGATAAACACTGGACCACAAGGTCAGTTTGATTCATAAGGTCTGCAGTTTAAACCCACCAGCTGCTCCTCGGAAACTGAATACAGCATTGCTATGAGTTGGAACCAACTCGACAGCACTTAACAACAACAACAACAACAGATTGAATAAATATGGTGAAAGGATACAACCCTGACACACACCTTTCCTGAATTTAAACCGTTGTGTATCCCTCTTGTTCTGTTTGAACAACTGCCTCTTGATCTACGCATAGGTTCCTTGTGAGCACATTTAAGTGTCCTGGAATACCCATTCTTTATAGTGTTATCTATAATCCTGTTATGGGGCCTCAAATAACAGTGCTTCAACAAGTCAGTCACCCATGACCCTTTCTTACTTAACACCCTGAGGTAGGAAGTTTAAGGATGTTCTGTTTTGTAAAGTCTTCCAGACTCTAGGACTCCTCTATCTTTGTTTCATTATTTGAAGCCTCTCCAAAGTTACCTCATAGTCTAGAAGGCTGCTCCAACCCCAGCCATCACATCGGCTTTCCAGCCAACAGGAAGTAGTATAGGAAGATGAAGGAAAAGGAGCAAAGAGCACATGCTTTTTTTTTAACCCTTTAAGGAAGATTATCAGAGGTTGCTACTCAACACTTATTTAACAGGAACTTAGTAATGTGGCTATACTAAACTGCAGGGAGGTTGGATAACCAGGTACGAGTCAAGTGTTCTCTTAATGGAAGGAGGGAAGGTTGAATACTGGGAAACTCCTGGAAATCTCTGCAACAGATTGTCATGAAAAGACCACAAGCCTCCATACAATAATTAAGCTCCTAGTTTAATAGCCCAGAGCCACAGAAACTTCTGGAAGTGAAGTCACCACAAGGCAGAAGAAGCAAATGCAGCAAAGTCCACAGCCACTACTCTTCTGTCATACTGTGGTGGCTCGCTTGTTGCTGTGATTTTGGAAGCTATGCCAGCAGTATTTTAAATACCGGCAGGGTCACTCGTGGTGGACAGGTTTCAGCAAAGCTTCCAGACTGAGACAGACTAGGGAGGAGAGACAGACTACTTCTGAATGTTTAGCCACTAAAAACCTTAAGAATAGCAGTGGAACACTGTCAGATACAGTGTTGGAAGATGAGCCCCTCAGGTTGGAAGGCATTGAAAACACGATTGGGGAAAGCTGCCTCCTCAAAGTAGAACTGACCCGTGATGACATAAATGGAATAGAGCTTTCAGGACCTTCATTTGTTGATGGGACACAAAATAAGAAACATTAGTAATCAGAATATGGAATGGATCTTGAAAAATCGGAAGTTGTAAAAAATGAAATGGAATGCATAAAGATCAATCTCCTAGGCATTTGTGAGCTGAAATGGGCCTTGTAAAATCTGACACCCACATGGTTTACTACACCTGAAACAACAAATTCAAGAGGAATGGTGTCGTATCCATCATCGATAAGAAAATTTCAAGATCTGTCTTAAAGTACAATGCTGTCTGTGATAGGAGAATATTCATACACCCACAAGGAAGACAAGTTAATACAACTATTATCCAAATTTATGCACCACCCACTAAAACCAGTGATGATGAAATTGAAGAATTCTACCAACTTCTTCAGTCTGAAATTGATCAAATAATCAATATAATAATCAAATAATCAAAATAATAACTGGTGATTAGAATGCAAAGGTTGGAAACAAAGAGGAAGATCATGGCATTGGTGATAGAAATGATGCTGGAGATCACATGATAGAATTTTGTAAGACCAATGACTTCTTCATTGCAAACACCCTTTTTAAACTAACATAAAAGATGACTATACACCTGGACCTCATCAGATGGAATGTACAGGAATCAAATGGACTACATCTGTGGGAAGAGACCGTGGAAAAGCTCCATATCATCAACCAAAACAAGACTAGGGGCTGGCTGTGCAACAGACCATCAATTGTGTATATGCAAGTTCAGGCTAAAGTGGAAGAAAATGAAAACAAGACAACAAGAGCCAAAGTATGACCTTGAACATATCTCACCTGAATTTAGAGACCATTTTAAGAACAGATTTGATGCATTAGACACTAATGACCGAAGATCAGAAAAGCTATGGTATGACATCAAGAACAATATAACAGGAAGAAAGCAAAAGTTCATTAAAAAGACAGGAAATTAAAAAAAAAAAAAAAGGGCCAAAATGGATGTCAGAAAAAACTTTGAAACTTGCTTTCCAGCTTAGAGGTGCTAAAACGAATGGAGGAAATGAGAAGGTAAAAATTTTCAAGCGGCAGCTCAAAAAGATAAAGTCAAGTATTATAATGAAATGTTCAAAGACATGGAGTTAGAAAACCAAAAGGAAAGAACACATTCAGCATTTCTCAAGCTGAAAGAGCTGAAGAAAAAATTCAAAGCCTTATAATATTGAAGGGTTCTGTGGGCAGAATTTTGAATGATGCAGAAAGGTATATACAGAGTCTCTGAGCATATAAAAAGAAATGTGTGATGTTCAAACATTTCAAGAGGTAGCATATGATCAAGAGCCAATCATCCTGAAGTCCTAGATGCACTGAAGGCATTGGTGATAAACAGGGCTCCAGGAATTGATGAAATACAAATTGAAGTCTTTCAACAAACTGATGCAGCACTGGAGGGACTCTCTCATGTATGATAGGAAATTTGGAAGACAACTGCCTGGCCAACTGATTGGAAGAGATCTATATTTGTGTCGTTCCAAAGAGAGTTGACCCAATGGAATGTGGAAATCATTGAACAATATCATTAATATCACATGCAAGTAAAATTTCACTGAAGATATTTTAAAAATGTCAGCAGGAGTACATTGACAGAATTCAAGCTGGATTCAGCAGAGGATCTGGAACAAGGGATATTATTGCTGATGTCAGATAGATCTTGGCTGAAAGCAGAAAATACCAGGAAGATATTTATTTATGTTTTTATTGACTATGCAAAGGCTTTTGACTGTGTGGATCATGACACGCTATGGGTAACATTGTGAAGAATGGGTGATATTCCAGAATACTTCATTGTGCTCATGAGGAACCTGTACATAGACCCAAGAGGCAGTTTGAACAGAACAAGGGGATACTGAATGGTTTAAAATCAGGAAAGGTGTGCACAAAGGCTGTATTCTTTCACTGGAGTTTTACCAATCCGCATGCTGAGCAAATAACTTGAGAAGCTAGATTATATGAAGATGAACTGGTGGCATCAGGATTAGAGGAAGACCCACTAACAACCTTTGATATGCACTTGCTCAAAGCTTTCAGTAAGAATTTTACCTCAATATAAAAAAAAATCCTCACCACTCAAGTGTAACAACAAATCTGAGGATGGGCAGACCAGGCAGGAAGTGTTTTGTTATGTGGTACATAGGGTCCATATGAGTCACAACTGACTTGACAACACCTAACAACACTCATGGAGTCCTGGTGTGGCGCTGTGGGATAATGCATCAGACTGCAAAGTCGTTTGAACTGCAAGGTTGGCGGTTCAAGCGCACCGGCTGCTCCTTGGAAACCCTATACAGGGTCACTATGGTCGGAATCAACTCGACAGCTTTAACAACAACAACAACAATAACATCTTCCACATCTGACCCTCTTGAAGTATGGTGCTGTCCTCGGGCGAGATTCTCTGTGCAGATAGAGGCAGCCCTGCCTACCTGAGAACACACCCGTTTTTCCTGTCCTTTTATATTTGATGTCCATTTCATGGGAGAAATGTTTTGCCCCCAGCTTGGCTGTTTCTCCACTGTACCTGATAAATAGCAGAACAGGCCTTGCAAGAGGTTGTACCGATGGTGGCTATTTTGAGAGATTGAGAAAATTCCAGCTGAGCAAGGTTGGGTGATTTGTTCAAAGTCACATGGCTGGTGAACCAAGGGGCAGAGCAGAACTGCCTTCTGGGCTTCCCACATCCTCTGCGGTTACTCTGTCCTCTGTTGTCCTAGTCGCTTTAGTTCCTTCTTTTCTTTTAGGACCTCTTTCCTCTACATCAACACTAACCCCAAATGCATATTGCCCCTGGCGCCAGGATCCCTTCCCCAACTTGGCCTTTGGATCTTCAGACTTTCCCCAGCTACCTCACCTCTTTCAGAATACACCTGTCTCTCACTTCTTAAGGGGAACAAGCTAACTGATTTTGGAAATGTGAGTTTTGAAGTATTTGCTGGTATTGCTGAGTCCTGAAGGCCTGGATCTGGAGGAGAGCATCCCAGACTCCCTGAGCAGTGTGTTTTAGTCAGGGAGCCCTCCAGTGGACCTCTCCTTGTTCTTGTGGAGGTTTTGGGCTCAAGTGCCAAGTGGGCAACGTCCCCAAGCCTAGGCAGGCTTTGGTGGAAACTGTGATGCTGACTTGTACTCTTGAGCATGTCTTCTCCTCCAGGCCCCAAAGGTGCACCGGCAGAGGCGGCAGAGAGACGTCTGGGGCCCCTGGGGTGAGTGGAGCCCCTGCAGCCGGACCTGTGGAGGGGGCATCAGCTTCCGGGAGCGCCCCTGCTACTCCCAGAGGTAGGGGAGGTTGAAATGGGCCAGCTTAAAAGGGGCAGGCAACAGGTGTCACAGGCAAGTGCAAGACCATGAGAGCTGAAGCCACGAAGGCAATAGATTTGTTCTAGAAGCAGCATCCATGGAGATTGGAAATGAAATAACTTCCCATTGGGATTTCAGTTACCCATCTTATTTTGGTCTCAGTTATCACTTGTCCATAGTGCCTAATACAATGCCTGGAACAGGACAGGTGAAGTGAATTCTTGCTGAATGAGTAGCTAATCTTCAGCCAGCATTTCCTCATTCCTGTGGTCTCCTTGTCCCACCCCCTGTGTTAGGTGCAAGAGGCTCACTCAGCACTTCTGTGCTCTGAACTCTGCCAGGTGCTTTGGTTGGGGTGGGGTAAGATGATGTGATAAACTGTCCCAGTTGGTGGTGGGCTTAGTCATGCATTGTTCAGGAGCCACTGTATGAGAATAGTTTATGCTTACTCATTTGTTCAGTTGTAGGATAATCAGGTGGGGATGTATAGCATCTTAGTTATATCTCTAAGGACATTTGAGTCTTCTCTGATAATGTACTTTAAGAAGCAGAGTGGCTTGGAGTTAGACAACTCCAGAATAGTTACGCTTCTGAGTCCTACTTGTCCCAAGTATAGACATGGGGTGAAGTACGATTATCTAAGAAGACTGGTATGGCGCTGTGGATTAATGTGCTGGACTGCAAAGTCAGTGAGCTTGAATCGCCCACCTTTCATTATGAGTTGGAACCAACTGGATGGTATTTAACAACCAGAAGGGGATTTAAGGAGTCCTGATTTGGTGCTGTAGGATAAGCATTGTTCTGCTAATCAAAAGCTGCACCTCAGAAGCCCTCTGCAGTCACTATGTCAGAACTGACTTTACGGCACTTTACACAGGGTATGGCAAAGGGTCCCGATGGCAAAGGTCTGCTGTTCTCTCCCAGAGAGAACGATGTGGCAGTCAGCTTCCATAATGACTCACCGCCTTGGGCACCTGATGGGGCAGTTCTCCTTTATGATACATTGTCACTCTGAACTGGAATTGCTTCGATGGCAGTGGGTTTTGAATTTGGAAGGGGATATAAAGGAGCCATGGTGTCGCGTTGGTTAAGGGCTGGGTTGCTAACCAATAGGCCCCTGTTTGGATGCCACTTAGCGCCCCTTAGTTATTGTTATGTGCTGTGGAATCGGTTCCGACTAATTTCTGAGGCTGTAAATCTTTACGGGAGCAGAAAGCCTCATCTTTCTCCCGCAGAACAGCTGAGAGTTTCCAACTGCTGTCCTTGCGGTTCACAGCCCGATTCATAACCACTACGCTATCAGAGCTCCTTTAGCGCCCTCTTAGAGGGCCCCGCCATTTGCTCCGGTAGACTCTTGTGCGCCCTCCAGTGGTTCCAGAGTCCTAGCAACCCCCTGTGACAAGCAGGACTTCCCCATAGGGTTGTAATCTTTGCGGAACCAGATCTCAAAGTGGGTGGGTTACAATCACGGACTTTTCTTGTTAGCAACCCAGCATTTAACCAGTGCACCATCAAGCCTTCTTCCAATAAAGATTACAGTTTCGGAAACCCTGTGAGGCTGTTCTACTCTGTCCCATAATCCGCTGGATGGCAGCGAACAGCCAGTGCCCCCACTCAGCGTTGCGCACAGGGAGCCTCACAGGGCAGGAGTCGGGGAGAGCCAGCGGGAGTTGTGGTAGGATTCGTCTGCCATCCATCCCGTTCTCATCCCGCAGGACAGACGGAGGCTCCAGCTGTGTGGGTCCCACCCGGGGCCACCGCTCCTGCCGCACCGAGGTGACACGCATGGCCCAGTCCCCCCAGCTGATGTGGATCTCTCCCGTGCCTGTCCTTGGCTCTGCCCCCTAGCCTCACCCCCAGGGACAGACCCTGCCCTCCCACCGCCTCCCCTCGAGCAGCTCAAAGCATCTGGGTGGGGCCCCCAAGGGCCGTGGGGAGGAGGGGACCCCACTTCACGCTCCCCTCTCCGTCTGCCCCACAGAGCTGCCCCGCGGGTGCCCGGGACTTCCGGGCGGAGCAGTGCTCCGAGTTTGATGGCATCGAGTTCCAGGGACGGCGCTACAAGTGGCTGCCTTACTACGGCGGTGAGCGCGGGCCACGTCTTTAAGAGCCTCGTTTATACGTTGTATTTTACACTTCAAAATACCTGCTTCCATATTGGAATCCTGGTGTGGCACTCTAGGATGCGCACTAGACTCTAAGGTCGGTTTGAACCACAAGGTTGGCGGTTCAATCTCACCAGCTTCTCCTAGGAAACCCTATTACAGGGTCGCTATGAGTTGGAAACGACTAAACGGCAGTTAACAACAACACTTCCATATTATAGAAGCTTTGTCAAAGGAATTTTAAAAATCGCCAGTACCCCCATAGTGCCCATGGCAACACAACATTGGCCATTTTGAGGTCTTTCATCTCTTCTGTTTTTATATCTGAGACAGTATGCCATATAGATACCATCTTGAGCTAAAGTTTCGCTCAGCCTGTTATCTGAAACATTCGAGCCCTGGTGGTGCAGTGGATGAGGCACTGGGCTGCTAACTGAAAGGTCCAGCTTTGAATCCACCAGCCACCCATGGGAGCAGCAGTTTGGATCAGTAAAGACTTATAACCTCCCAAGTGGGCATCATCTGAAGCATTTCTTGTTGCAGCAGAGTTTGAGCAAGCCACAAGAAGGAGCTTGGGATGTATATCTGGATTCACTGAGGTTAGAGGAGATGCCCTTGAGGTTAACTCTGATGGGAATGTGGCTCCTTAGATGTTAGAGGAACACAGTTCAAGGAGTAAAAAAGACCTAACAAGTAAGAGTCAGAAGGTATCTCAGGATTGTTGTTGTTAGTGCCATCGAGTTGCTTCCGACTCTGTGATACTCATAATCCTCCTGAATATCAGTTTTCACTGTTCACTAGAGTCCTGGTGTGGCACTGTAGGATAAGCACTGGACTGCAAACCACAAGGTCAGCGGTTCAAATCCTCGGAAACCCTATACAGGGTCACTATGAGTCGAAACCGACTCTCGGCATTAAACAACAACGTCCAGTGTTACTGGTAGGGCTGAGGGGCTGGGTGGGGATTGACCAGTGGAAGTGGTCCCAGTGGGATCCTTTGGAGTTCATTATGCCAATTTATTGAAAAATAATTCAATAATTCAATTAATTGAAAAATAATTTAAATAAATCCATATTCTAGAGGATGTGGAAAGGCTTAAAAAAAACCAAAAACAAATGGCCGCAGGGAGGTGCCTGTTGTGGGGGGATTGAAATGCTATTAGCACTTTTGCACTGTTTACACTTGTGTCCTGGTGTGGTGCTGTGGGTTCATGTGCTGGATGGCAAAGCCCCTTGAACCACCAGGTTGGCAGTTCAAACCCACCAGCCACTCCTTGGAAACCCTACACAGGGGTGCTATGGGTCAGAACTGACTGGATGGCACAGGGGTGCTATGGGTCAGAACTGACTGGATGGCACTTAACAACAACAAATGTTGTGTATGTAAAATTTAGATAAATATAAAAAATAAACACACAAAAAAATTCTTACGTCTTTCATAACTGATAACATTAGGGTCTAACCCTTCCATGTGATTTTCTCTCTTTAGGCTTACATATTTGTAATTACAGCATGTGTTATAAGTACTTCTAGAAATACCTGCCTCATCATTATGTCTCCCCAAGTGGTGGAGTTTAACTGTGTCACCAACATGTGTATTATTCTGGGGGTTGATAATTCCTAAAAGAGTTGTTGCTATTGTTAAGTGCTACAGAGTCAGTTCTGGCTCATAGCAACCCTGTGTAGGGTTTCTGAGGAGTGACTGGTGGGTTTGAACTGCCAGCGGTTGGCAGTCTAGTGCTTATCCTACAGTGCCACACCAGGACTCCCTCATATTGTTGTTGTTGTTAAGTACCGTGGAGTTGGTTCCAACTCATAGTGACCCTGCATAGGGTTTCCGAGGCTGTAAATAGTTATGGGAGCAGAATGCCTCATCTTTCTTCCGTGGAACCACTGATAATTTCGAACTTCTGACCTTGCAGTTGGCAGCCCGACTCGTAACCACTACACTACCAAATGTATAGCAGTTTACTTATTTGGTGATTTTTCTTTGACTTGATATCCAGGGGAGCAGCTACTTCGTGGAGAATGTTCCTTCTCGGTGGGGTCGGAGTGGGAATCTGAGCCAAGTAGGGTCACTGCTTTCTCCCCCAGCTGCTACGTTCTCTTGGCTCTGCCCATGCTTGGCTGCTGATACGATAGGCCTTGGATTCTCAGCTTTCCCCTCTTGCCTGATCTAGCCCCAAACAAGTGTGAACTGAACTGCATTCCCAAGGGGGAGAACTTCTACTATAAACACAAGGAGGCTGTGGTGGACGGGACCGCCTGTGAGCCTGGCAAACCGGAGGTCTGTGTGGATGGCAGCTGCCGGGTGAGTCTTGACCCTTGATCCTCCCCTGATGTGTAAATACCTGCTCATTTATGCCTGGGGGACACAGGCACCGAACACCTGTCAGATGAGAGCCGCTGCAGTTTATTCCTTACATGCATTCAGACAGTGCAGCGTACAACACAGGTCATGGAGGACAACCAGGGACTGTGGGGAGGGTGCCCCCTGAGGCCCCTGAGAGGATGTGATTTGCTTGTTTGAATAATCCTCCAAAACAGAACTCCACCACTTGGGGAGACATAGGAATGGCACCTGGCCCATTTGACAAGAAGGACTGTCCACTAGGACAGTATTCGTGGGCACAGAGCTGGGAGGAGAACATGTGGCTAGACTATTTGAAGCCCTCTCATGTTCTCTTGGTGTGGTGCTGTAGGATCAGCATTGGACTGCAAACCATAGGGTCGGCAGTTCAAACCCACCAGCTGCTCCTCGGAAACCCTATACAGGGTCACTATGGGTCAGAACTGACTTGACAGTGCTTAACATGTTCTCCCAGACGTTGAGGCAGCACATAACCTCGGCCCTCATCTTTGCCTGGCAGGTGGTTGGCTGTGACCACAAATTAGACTCCTCAAAGCAGGAGGACAAATGTCTTCAGTGTGGAGGTGACGGCACGACCTGCTACCCTGTGACAGGCACCTTCGATGCCAATGACCTCAGCAGAGGTGGGTCACAGTGAGGGGACGCTGACAATTCCAACAAGGGGCTGTTACATTCCCTTCCTCGCCCATGTTCTCCTTGGTTGATGGCCCTCCAGACACCCAGAGAGTCTGAGGCTGGTGCCATACCTTAGAGTCTCTGTGGCCTTGGGGTGGAGGCCAAGCTCTTTCCTAGGAGCCCCTGCTTATTTATCCAATCTAATCTCACTGCCGCCTCTGCTCCCCAGCCAGTTCTGGGGTGTCCTGAGCCTGCCAGCTGTTTCCTCCAGCAACCCAGACCCTCCTGTCTCCTGTGTATCCTTGCCTCACCTCCAATCGGTGCTGTCGTGGACTGCTCAGGGCAGCTCTGTCCTTTGACTAGGGTGGTCCAAGGGGGTAGGCATGCCAAGCAACCCTGAGTCTCTGCCTCCCTCAGGCTACAATCAGATCCTCATCGTGCCCCTGGGGGCTACCAGCATCCACATTGAGGAGGCTGCTGCTAGCAGGAACTTCCTGGGTGAGTGTCACAGCCTAAGGCAGTGGTGGTGGGTGGTGCAGCTTGCTCTCCCCTGCTCACTGATGCCTGGTTCACCCCTGCACAGCGGTGAAGAGCATTCGTGGTGAATACTACCTTAATGGGCACTGGACCATCGAGACAGCCAGGGCGCTGCCTGTGGCCAGCACCATCCTGGTGTATGAGCGGGGCAGCGAGGGGGACCTGGCCCCTGAGCGACTCCACGCCCGGGGCCCCATCTCGGAACCCCTGATCATTGAGGTGAGCCGAGCTGTAGGGGTGGGGCCATCAAGCCCAGGTCACGGGGGCTCTGGGATTCCCCTGGGCCTGAGGGAGGGAGTTGAGGAGAGGTGGGGGGCACACAGCTGGTGGCAGACCTTCCAAGGACCCCCTGCACAGCTCATCAGTCAGGAGGTTAATCCCGGCGTGCGGTACGAATACCACCTGCCCCTGAGTGACCCAGACCGCAGCTTCCGCTGGAGCCATGGCTCTTGGGGCGACTGCAGTGCCGAGTGTGGAGGAGGTGAGAGCCCCTGCCTATTCTGTTGGGTGTCCACCGTGTGTGAGGCACTGTGGACAGAGGACAATGAGGAATTTCTGCCTCATGAAGTCTGCTCCTGAGGGGTGAACCAGAGAGGGCCCCAGAGGGCTGCCAGCTCACTGCAGACAGAACTCATGAAAGAGGGGGCCAGGCCTGCAGCCGGTGACCAGGTGTCCAAGCGAGGCTGTCAGTCACAGCTGGGATTTCCCAAGCCTCCTTTCCTCATTTGTAATTGGGAGTGAAAATGGCAGCTGGACTCTTGGTGTGGCGCTGTAGGATCAGCACTAGACTGTGAACTACAAGGTTGGCAGTTCAAGCCCACCAGCTGCTCCTCAGAAACCCTGTATAGGATTGCTATGAGTCAGAACCGACTTGATAGCATTTAACAACAACAGTGCCATCTAGCCCAGGGATGGTTGGAGGCTTAGTCCACCTTGCACATGGGGTGTCCAGCACGGTGCCTGGCACTGACCTTGCCCCTTTGGTTGCTTACTGACTGGCTGCCTGCCGATGGGGCCCCTGCACAGGTCACCAGGTTCGCCTGGTGTTCTGCACCATCGACAACGAGGCCTACCCTGACCACCTGTGCCAACGCCAGCCACGGCCAGCTGACCGCCAACCCTGCAACCTCCACCCCTGCCCACAGACCAAGCGGTGAGGCCTTTGCTGGCCCCACTCTCCTATGGTGGGGCCTACGGGCTTGGGAAGGAAAGGGTTGGGGTCCCTAAGCTACTTTAGGTATAGATCTAGGAGCTGGGCTGCTCAGGGCTCCCCACTGCTGTGGCTGGGGTGGGGAGGAGGCACTGTTTTGGGAGGGGTGGGGAAATACAGGGGCTGTTCTTTCTGGTAGGGGCATGTGTACCTGTCTGGAGGCAGGAGGGTGGGGAAGGTGGTGGAGGCCCTGTCAGTGAGCTGGCAGGTAGCCAGCTGGGCAGAGGCTGAGGAGTGGGCCAGGGGACTGGCCACAGGGCCTGTCGGCATCGACAATGCGTTTGCACACAAAGGACCTCTTACCTGCACCAACCTGGAGCATGGCGCCTCGCTGGGGTCCAGCGTGTGTGTGGGAACAGGTAATCTTCGGGCCACAGGCCCCATAGGCCCCACAGGCCTGGGGCAGTTCCACCCATGTGCCTTGGTGGCAGCTGGCCTCATGGGATGGTGGCGGGTTTGGCTTTGCATGGTGCAGTGGGACTGCCCTGTTCTTTGGTCCTTGGGCCCCAGCTCTAGGCTGGGCCACTCCACACATGGTGAGCACGGCCTCACACGGAGGCTCAGGTCACAGGACAGGCCTGGAGGGAATGGAGTATGGCTGGGGGCGACAGTGCATCTGGGGAGAGGAGGGGAGCATGTGGGCTGAGGGCAGGTACCAGAGGGCATAGGCACCTCCTTGTCCAGGCCTCTCTGCCACCCACCTACACAGACCTAAGTGTTCAAAGGATGGGCTGGGTGGGGGCTCAGTCCACTGCTGTGTGTGAGAGCTGGCCTCACCTCGGGCTGGGCTCTGGCCCCTACGCCTGGGCCAGCCTCACTGGATTCTTGCTCCCCACCAGTTGGAAGACAGGGCCCTGGGCACCCTGCTCAGCCTCCTGCGGAGGTGGCTCCCAGTCCCGCTCCGTCTACTGTGTCTCAGTCAGTGGCAGTGGCGACCAGGAGGCTGTTGAAGAGGCCGAGTGTGTGGGCCTGCCTGGGAAGCCCCCTGCCACACAAGCTTGCAACCTGCAGCGATGCGCAGCCTGGAGTTTAGGGCCCTGGGGAGAGGTGAGACCTCTGATTGACATCAGGAGCTGGGGGGCTTGCCTGTGACATAGACACTGAGATCCTGGGGCGGGGGTGGGGGTAGGTAAAATGACTTAGCAGGCTGTCATGGAAGCTGGAGGCAAGGCTGGAACTATGAGAAGGCACCTGGACTCCTTGTCTAGTGCTCCTCATTTTCTAGGGCCCCAGGGCAGGATGGGAAAGACTCTGCCTTGGCATGGAGGAGAAGCTAAGGGCATTGCTGGGAGTGGCTGCAACTGTTTCCATTACCCATCTGGGTTCATGGTGTAAGTGGTGGTGGTTATGTGCTGTGGAGTTGGTTCCGACTCGTAGTGACCCTGTACAGGGTTTCTGAGGCTGTAAATCTCTCTGGAGCAGAAAGCCTTATCTTTCTCCCATGGAACAGCTGGTAGTTTCAAACTGATGACCTTGAGGTTCACAGCCCAATTCATAACCACTACGCTACCAGCACTCCTTAAGGTGCAAATGAGGCATGTGGAAATGCACTGAGCAGCATCAGCAGTCGTGGCTCAGGCTGTGTGACCTCAGAGGACCCACTAAGCCTCTCTGGGCCTTGGGGCTAGACATGAACTGTAGAGTGCTGTCCACTCCCTGTGCCCACCCTGTATGTCCTGGCATGGCTTTCCTGGCAGTGGGTGAGCTCCTCCTGACAGCTGAATCCTTGCAGTGTTCTGTCAGCTGTGGCTCTGGGGTCCGGAGGCGGACTGTCACTTGCCAGGATGGAGAGGGGTCTGTACTCCAAGCCACAGCATGCTCCTCGAGGGACCGGCCACCCCTCACTGAGCCCTGTATGCGAGATGACTGCTCCGTCCTCAATGAGCAGGCCTGGCATGTTGGCACCTGGGGTCTGGTGAGTGCTTGCCTCCCCTTGTCACCCATGTCCAGCCTGGTTCTTTGGGGCTCTGATGGGGCTGGGTTCCACCCCCTTTGGCCTACCAGATGGGCATTTCAGTCACAGCCTCAGGGTCTGTGTCTGCGTGTGTTCTCCAGTGCTCCAGGAGCTGTAGTTCAGGCCTTCGGAAGCGGCTGGTCGTCTGTGCCATTGGGCTGCCCAGCCACTGTGAGAATCTGCAGCTGGCAAAGCCTGCAGACGTGGAGCCCTGTAACACACAGCCCTGCCATCTTCCTCAAGGTCAGGACAGAAGGGCAGGGAGGAGCCCTGGGCCAGCCACCTCCCCCACTACAAGTTTAGCTAGCACCTGTACCTCTGTCCCTTTTCACTGCTGTCTACTGAAACCTTTGCCATCTATAAAGTCAGACATGTATGCCATGTCACATGCCAGCCCTATGTTCCTCCACATACAGTGGTCTCTTCCTCCTCTGCTTCTTGTCTCCCATAGTGGGTTTGTAATGACAAGCAATTCTCAACTTACATTGGGATTCCATTCCAACAACCCCATTGTTAAGTCTATTCTAATGTAAGTCAAATATCTCATTATTATTGCCTCTTAATCTCTTTACCAGTCTGATCTTTATTTGTCTTTGGGGGTTGGAAGCCTTACATATAAGCTTACAGATACAATGACATCAGCCAATGAGATGCTGCAACATTGTGTGTGGTACATATTATTCACAATAAGTTGTACAAAAAACCAAACTGGATGGTTGTTGTAATTCGAATGCGTCGTAAGTTGAGGACTACGTATATTGCGTCCATCTGTCTTGCCCTGCAGTGGATTGAATAGTGCTTGTTAGACCTATTAACTGTAAGCTTCTTGAAGTCAAGGTTTGTGCCTTATTGCTCTTTATCCCCCAACAGAACTTACCTAGCATGTGGTTGTTGTTTTTGTTAAGTGCCGTGGAGTTGGTTCCGACTCATAGCAACCCTGTACAGGGTTTCCGAGGCTGTAAATCTTTATGGGAGCAGAAAGCCTCATCTTTCTCCCATGGAGCAGCTGGTAGTTTTGAACTGCTGACCGTGAGATTAGCAGCCTGATTCGTAACCACTGAGCTACCAGAGCCCCTTTACCCAGTAAATGTTTGCTGACTGACTGCAGAGGTAGGTAGTTCAGGAATGACCGTCCACACAAGCTGCTTTTGTCTCTATCTTCCTCCTTCCGGTCACCCCCACCCTCCAGGAAGGAGATGTCCTGAGCATGAGGATCCTGTCACAGGAAAGGGCCTGAGCTCTTCTTGACGGAAAGGAAGGGTGTGGGTTGTAGCTGAGCTGAAAGGGTGATGGGAAGTGGCCTTCCCATATGACAGAGAGCTGTGTTTGTCCCTGATGTGGCTGGTACCCCAGACTGTGTTCCCTTTGGTTCTCATAGCATTCTGCAGGGTGGCTAAGAATAAGTGACCAGGGAGTCAACATGGCCAGTCACTCATGGGGCCCTGGGCACGCCCCTTTCCTTTCTGCTTCCTGGTTCCCTCAGATGCACTACGGGGTGGTGACTCTGGAGTTAGTGACCCTGGACTTGTGGTGAATTACAGGGCACATGGTCTGAGCCCATAGAGTGCTCAGCAAATAAACGGTAGTGATAGTGAGGAGTTCACGGAGGCTGGGAGGGCCCCTGGCCAGTGTCCTGCAACAGTACTAGCAGGGATGGCTCACACACAGGAGGAAGCACCCGTGGCCTCCCAGAGTCCAGCTCTGCACCACCCTCAGCCTCCCAGGAGTCCAGCTCTGCACCACCCTTGGCCTCCCAGGAGTCCAGCTCTGCACAGAGGACCTGGCTCCCTGCCTGGAGGGGTGAGCAGGACTCACACAGGTAGAAAGACAGGAGAGGAAAGTAAGTCACAGGCCAGGAAGTGTTGAACAAGAAACTTCTCTTCTATTTTTATGATTATAAAAAAATATATGTTAAAAAAATCTATATATGCTTATATGTTTGAAGTGGGAAATTTGGAGAAATTAAAGAAAATAAATGGAGCCCTGTAGCATAGTTGTTAAAACACTTGGCTACGGCTAATGCGTCATACTGGAAAGTCGTTTGAACTGCAAGGTTGGTGGTTCAAGCTCACTAGCTGCTCCTTGGAAACCCTATACAGGGTTGCTATGGGTCAGAATCGACTCAATGGCACTTAACAACAACAACAACAACTAACTGAAAAGTAGGTGGTTCAAACTTACCAGCTGCTTGAGGGAGAAAGATGAGCTAGTTTACTTCCATGTTTACAGCCTGGGAAATCCTATGGGGCAGTTCTGGTCATCCTATAGGGTCGCTATGAGTTGGAATCACCTTGAATGGCAGTGAGTTATATATGTTGTTGTTTAGTGCCATTGGGTCAGTTCCGACTCATAGCGACCCTGTTTCCAAGGCTGTAAATCTTTATGGGAGCAGAAAGACTCATCTTTCTCCAGCAAAGTGACTGGTAGAGTTGAACTGCTGACCTTGCAGTTAGCAGCCTAGCTCATAATCCACTACGCTACCAGGGCTCATCTCTGGTAGCATAGTGGTTATGAATCGGGCTGTGAACCGCAAGGTCAGCAGTTCGAAACTACCAGCCGCTCCGTGGGAGAAAGATAAGGCTTTCTGCTCCCATAAAGATTTACAGCCTCGGAAACCCTGTACAGGGTCGCTATGGGTCAGAACTGACTCGATGGCACTTAACAACAACAACAACCAGAGCTCATATAAAAAATGAAAACATCTGCAGCTGCATTGTGTGTCTTTAAAGAACTCGTCTCTTTATAACATATCCCAATTATTATTCAATTATTAATATAATTCAATTATAAACTTAATATTCATTTTTAATGCTAAATCTTTGAGATCTAATATATAGTTTATGCTTTTATAGTGCATCTCAATTTAAGTGTATATTTTCATTGAATATTTGATCTATGTTTCGATTACATAAAATGTATAGTTGAAAATAGTAGATATTCAAGTTGTTCTAAATGTTTAAACATTTTCCAAAAGATGTATCAAGTATCAGCGTTTAAAGTTAAAATTCAATTAAAACTTAAACCCAGTGCCTAGGTTTCTCTAGCCACAGTTCAAGTTGCTCAGTAGGGTTAGGGACCCATAGTGGCCCCAGAGCTACCCCAGGGGGTGTTGTCCTCATGGTTGTAACAGATACTTGAGGGTCTTGGGCATGGACTACAGATTGGATTTATCTAATTGGCCCAGGGGAGCCATTGAAAGTTCTGGAGCTAGAGAGTACACTTAGGAGGATAAATTGAGTTAGACTGAAGTGGAGATAGGTGGTAAGTGGGGGCCTGATGGACTGCAGGCTGTAGACATTCAGGTGCTCTAAGGGGTGATAGAAATGAAGGGACAGGTGCTAGCCCAGCCAAGCCAGTGCCCAGTGGGTAGGGGGATTTTCTGGGACAGAATTTATGGTGAAGAAATGGAAGAACAGAGTCTCAGGAGAAAGCCAAACAGCGGATGGATTGGTAGAAGGATGCCTTCTGTTTTTGACACTTAAATTTGAGAGACAGAGGGTCAACCAGGCAGAAATTCACAGCCTGGGAACTGTGAATGCAGGGCAGAGATGTGGGTGGTCTGTCTAGAGTACACAGCTCTGGGGAGAGAATATCAATCTGCTTTATCTGAGGTTTTGACCTGAATGTGATAGAAATTAAGACGAAAGCCAAGATTTGACCCCTATGTATAGGAGCCGTTGTACCCCAGACCATTGTTTAAAAGTTGCCCTGGGCAAGATGTGAGCAATGTGGGGAGGGAATTTCACTTATTTTTTATAGTCTTATTTTATGTAATAATAAACTCATTGTGGGGAATGTGAAAAACACAGACAGAAGGAAGGGGAAAAAACTCATGCATGAAGACCTGGAGGCTTCCCATGAGCATTTGGGGCCTTTCCTGTAAGTTGTCTTTTATGCATCGTTAACACAATTTCCTGTTGTCATAGTTTCCTCCAACATTTTCTGGTTAGAAAATGACTTCATATAGATGTCACTTGCATGCAATGAAATTCACCATTTTAATTGCACAATTTGTGGTTTTTCACAATTTTACAGCAACAAGACTGAAAAAATGCAAACCTCCAAAACACTTAAATGAATTTTATAATGGCAGCCATGTGCTCACATCTAAATTCTATAATTAATACTTTGCTTTATTGGGAATCAATTATCTAGCCCTACATCCATCTAATTAAAAGCGTATGTATCATTTTTTGTTTGCTAGTTGGGAGCGTACCATAAATGCTAATTTATTTCTGAACATGTAACATAAGTATCTCTATGTGACTGGAGGCTTCTAAATGAGAAGATGCAATTTTTCTTCTTTTTAAAACTTGGTTGTGAACTGAGTGAAGCTTTACAGAGCACATCAGTTTTCCATTCAGCAATTCATACACATTTTGCTTCATGTCGTTGACTGCAGTCCCCACAAAGTGACATCCCTCATCCTACTTCCTCCCGGTGTTTTTCGTTTCCACTCCTCCTTTCCTAACCCTTTTAAACTTTGTCCTTGGGTAAATGCTGCCTTTTTGATCTCATTTAGTTGGTTATTCCAAGGTGTGTGTGCCTTCCTAGTGTTATGGCTCCTCATACAGGCTGGGCTATGTTTGGCTGCAAGTTGACCCATGGGGGTGACTACACTTCCAGACCTGAAGGGGGACTAAGGGTCAGAGTCTTGGGGTTCCACCAGTCTCTCTGATTTTCACTTTTGTTCCATTTCTTTTTTCTGCTCTGTCCATGACTTTGTAACATGATCCCTTTCAGAGCAGTTGGTAGTGATAGCAGAGTACCATCTAGTTCTGGTCTCAGGGTTGTGGAGACTGATGTTCTAGTCGTCCAGTCATCCATTGGAGTCATTGTTTCCATACATCAGTTTTTCTTCACTCTTCTTTGCACCTGATGGTGGTGGTGGTGGTGGTGGTGGTGGTTTTATAAAATGACAGGTCCTGCTCATTTTCACTTCTGATGTCCTGGGTCCCCTGGGCCCTGCCTGAGCACTAGGGTGGGGGGAGGGCTGGTCACCTCTGGGGCCTACAACTCTCCTCCATCCCCTCTGCACCCCGTTCTGTCTGCTTGGTTTCCTGCAGAAGTTCCCAGCCTGCAAGACATGAGCACTAATCCCAGGGACCCCAGGACGTCTCTGGGTGTTCGAGAGTCCTCTGCTTCAGGTGAGAAGCTCAGACACAGCCCCACCCCGCTCTCTCTCAGCTGTGCATCTGAGTGGAAGGTGCCTGGAGATGGGGTCCTGGAATGGTGACGGAGGGGAGGGTGGTCTGGGGATGGCTGTGAGGCTCAGTGTGGGGACAGAGAGAGGGGTTGAGGAGGGGGACTTGTCTACCTTCTGGACCGTTTTTTCTAGATTCCAGAGGCCACTGGAGGGCACCCCAGGGAAGACCCTCAGCCTGGAGTAATCCCAGAGGAGATCAGGGTTCCCACTTGTCAGCCCTGGTCCCAGAACCCTCTCAGCAGCAGTCCCCACACCGGCAGTCCCCTCAGTTGGGCTTGGGGTCCCGGGACTGCAGGCACAGCTCCCATGGGTGCTGCCCCGATGGCCACTCAGCATCTCTGGGGCCTCAGTGGCAAGGCTGCCCTGGGGTGGTCTCCTGTCAGCAGAGCAGGTGTGTGCTGGAGACGGCCTCCCTCTGCACGGTAGCAGTGAGGGAGGGAGGGTGGTGCCTCACAGAGTTCAGTAACAGGATGCAGGATTTTCTGTCTCTGAGCTGTCCTAATTCCCAGTCTTGGGCACTTGGCCTCCTCTCTCTGTGCTTCTTGAAGCTCCTAAGCCACCAGCTGTCCTGTGACTCTGACTCACGATGGCCCCACGTGTGTCAGAGGCAACTGTGCATGACAGGCTCTTCAGTGGCTGATTTGTCAGAAGTAGATCTCCCGGCCTAGCTTTTGACACACCTTCTGGTGGACTTGAACCCTCAACCTTTCGATTAGCAGCAAGGGCTAACTGATTGCATCATCCAAGGACTCCCTAGTGTTGCTCCCGATTAGCCTATCAGCTGCTGCTGAGTCATTTGTACATGGCAACCCCACAGGGTTTTCAAGGAAGCAGATGGCCATGTCTGTCTTCTGAGGTGCCTCTGGGTGGGTTTGAACTGCCCACATTTCAGTAGTGAAGTGTTTAATCCTTTGTGTCTCCTGATGTGCTTGGTGGGGACTCCTGGTGTGGAGCTGTAGGATCAGCACTGGACTATGAACCACAAGGTCAGCAGTTCAAACCCACCAGCTGCTCCTTGGAAACCCTGTACAGGGTCACTATGAGTTGGAACCAACTTGACCACACTTAGCACTTAGCTACAATGACTGATCGTAGTCATGTGACCAGAGATCCAGTGTGAGGTGGTTTGGAGGAGGCACATGGGGAGCTGAGCAGAAAGGCTGAACTAAGATCATTCCTCCGTCCTGCTTACTTCAGCAGAGAGGACTGAGTCCCCAGGTGCCTGCCCGGTACGTGCCCACCTCCACCAGGGACGATGGGGCTCAGAGCCCTGGCTTTGGGGCAGCAGTGTGGGTGTGATTCCCTGCTCGGACTCTTACAAGTGTGCTGGATGACTTGGGACAAGTCATTTAACCTCTGTAATCTTCTGTGAATTGGGAACAGTGACAGCCACTGGGTGATGTTATTGTGAGGAATAGATAAATCACATGGCACCTGGCACATACAAGGCACTTTGATGCATTCTTTCTTTCACCTCCTTTCCTACTCCTGGTTGGTAGAGTTAAATAAATGGTGAGTTCCTGTGAACCCCCTTTCTGCCCTGCCTCCCAGCTGCTGCAAGTATGGAAACCTGTGGTCTGATGCTTGGGCAGACCATGAGCAAGTCCCACTTTGGTGTGATGGGACATGTGAGCCTAGGGTCTGTCAGGGTGGGGTGCAGGCAGTGTGTCATGCCCTCTCCCTGATGTGCTCTCCCAGACATGGTACCTCAGAGCCTGGGTTCTGGGGTGCTGGGACCTCAGGGCTGGGCAGTGAGGGCTGGCAGGCTCAGTATGATGTCTATTAGGTACGGGTGCTGCCCTGATGGGGTATCAGTGGCCCAGGGGCCCCATCAGGCTGGCTGTGCAAGGTCGCATAGCAGTGGCAATACCGGCAACAGGCCAGGGTTGAGAGCTGCGCCTTCCACAGTAAGTGTCTGGTTCGTGTGTGTGTGTGTGTGCATGTGTGTATGTGTGTGGGGCAAGGGGTGGGGCCAGGGGTGGGGGAAGGCAGGAGTCCAGCCCTCAAGCCTGGGCAATGCCAATGAGTCCCAGCCTGGGGCACCTCTCAGGGGCCCAGGGCTTCAGCAGCTGGGCTGGCCTGGGCTGGGAGTGTGCACCCTGGGCTCAGTTCTGTCCCTCTTCTGGTCACCGGAGCCCTCTACCTAGACCTGAGCCCTTTTCTTAACTCTCCAATCCTGGACTTCCTCTGTAGGTCCCCCAGGCCCAGCAGAACCAGCCCAGCGAGTGTCGGGGCTCCCAGTTCGGCTGTTGCTATGACCATGTGGCCTCTGCAGCTGGTCCTCTAGGGGAGGGCTGCGTAGGTCAGCCCAGCTACGGTGAGTGGACACCGACTCTTCCTCTCTGGGCCCCTCCTCCTGGTTTATTCACTCACTTCTTCCACAAGTCTCCCCTGGGTGAGCACCTAGAAGGTTGCAGGACAGTGCCTGACTATTCACATCAGACAGCATGCCTGGCGTCAGCAGGCTGTGGGTTCCAAGGGGAGGAAGACCATGCTGGCCCTGGGCAACAATGAGGAGGACGTCTTGATATAGCTGGGATGCAGGGGGCAGTGGGGCTGTGTCCTAGAGGGAGGTCGGGACCAGAGAGCAGGGTGCATGAGGCCTCCAGAGACCATGATGAGGGGATCCCGTAGCCAGGTGTGGGCAAGGAGCATTCATGCTGTGCTGGGAGCAGAGTGGCTTGGACACACGGGCGGGACTGGGTCCAGAGGCTGCTGTGGAGGCCCAGGAGCAAGAGCAGCCCCCTGCTGAGCTGGGCCCTTATCCTGAGCCACGTAAGTACTTTAGGGTCAAGACCAAGCTGCAGGAGGGCCTGCAGTCCTGGCCCTGACCACCTAGAGGCCAGCAGTTCTGTAGCTGGAGGTGGTGAGCATGACTGTCAGCTCATGGGACCTCAACCTGGGGCAGGTCTAGTCGGTGCACCTGCGTTCTGTAGTGCTACCAACTCTGGAAACGGAGGCCTCCAAGGCTGAGGGCGGGCAGGGTGGGAAGGTCCTGTTGGAGCATTTGCAGTGTTATTATTGGGCACCTGGCGATGTGGGTCCTTTCTCCCTTCAGCCTATCCGGTGCGGTGCCTACTACCCAGTGCCCACGGCTCCTGTGCAGACTGGGTTGCCCACTGGTACTTCATCCCCTCTGTGGGCCAATGCAACCGCTTCTGGTATGGCGGCTGCCACGGCAACGCCAATAACTTTGCCTCTGAGGAAGAGTGCCTGAGCAGCTGCCGGGGCCCCCAGCCTGGAGCCTCCATCCACAGCACCCACAGGGAGGGAGGGCCTGGAGGCCAGCAGGAGGCCAGCAGCCATGGGGTGGAAGCCACAGTCCAGAAGAAGCCCTTGCCTTCTGGGAGCATTGGGCTTGGGGAGACTCCCGGTACCCAGACCTTTGGAGAAAGGTCCTGGGACAAAGAGCGAGGGTCCAGTGTCCCAGGACTAGGAGGATATGCCGGGCGACCAGCATCACCCTCCCGCAGCTCCTCATACAGGTGAGCCCCACCTTCCCCAGGTAGGAGGCAGGGTGCACCAGCTGGGCCTGGGCCTGGGTCTACTTGATCTAAAACCCTGAGGGGAGCGGGTTCTCCCTCATCCACTATCCTTTAATGCTCCAGACAGCTAGTAGGTGGGGGTGCCCGGATGCTTCACCCGACTCACTGTGCACCCTGGGCCCTCTAGAGCTTGTTGGCTTCTCTCTGGCATTACTCTGTAGTTTGGTGCATGTCCCATTAATTGTTACTTGGGATTCTGTCACATGGATGAGGGATTTGGGGAGATTTGAAACAGTTTGAAAAACCCAAGCCTGATATTCCAAAGGGGTCAGATTTGGGAGGGCCTGGAGGCCAGCAGAAGGTCAGCAGGCATGGATGGGAGCCACAGTCTTCTGGGAGCTTGTTGTTATTAGGTGCAGCCGAGTTGGTTCCAACTCATAGTGACCAAATCACTGCCTGGACCTCATGATGGTTGTTAAGCTTGTGCCCCCTGCTGCTGCCACTGTGCCAGTCCATCTCATTGGGGTCTTACTCTTTTTCATTGACCCTCCACTTTACCAAGTTTGATATCCTTCTCCAGGGACAGTCCCTCATGATAATATGTCCCAAGTGTGAGAGAAAGTCTCACCATCCTGGCTTCTAAGAAGCATTCTGACTGTACGTCTTCCAACACAGATTTATTTGTTCTTCTGGCAGTCCATGGTACTTTCAATATTCTTCTTCATCACCATACCTCAAATGCATCAATTCTTCTATGGTTTTCCTTATTCAGTGTCCAACTTTCACATGCATATGAGGTTATTGGAAATGCCATGGCTTGGGTCAGACACACCTTAGTCCTCAAATTGACATCTGTGCTCTTAGACACTTTAAAGCTGTCTTATGCAGCAGGTTTACCTAATGAAATACGTTGTGTGATTTTTTGACTGCTACTTCCATGAGTGTTGATGGTGGATCCAAACAAAATGAAGTCTTTGACAACTCCCATCTTTTCTCCACTTAGCCTGTTGTGAGGATTATTGTTTTCTTTACATTGAGGTGCAACCTGTATTGAAGGCAACAATCTTTGATTTTTTTCATCAGTAAGTATTATAAGTCCTCTTCACTTTCAGCAAGCAAGATTGTATAACAGGTTGCTAATGAGTCTTCCTCCAGTCCTGATGCCATGTTCTTCTTCATGTAATCCGGCCTCTTGGATCATTTGCTCAGTGTACAGATTGAATAAGTATAGTGAAAGAGTAGAACCCTGACACACGCTTTTCCTAATTTTAAACCATTCAGTGTTCCCTTGTTCTGTTTGAACCTCTTGGTCTTTGTACAGGTTTCTCATGAGTACAATTAAGTGTTCTGGAATACTCACTCTCTGCAATGTTGTCCATAGCTTGTCATGAGCCACACAATCGAAAGCCTTTGCGTAGTCAATAAAACACAGGTAAACATTTTTCTGGTATTCTGTACTTTCAGCCACAACCCATCTGATGTCAGCAATGATATCCCTCATTCCACAGCCTCTTCTGAGTCCAGTTTGAACCCGTCAATGTACTGTTGTGCCAATTTTGAATTATCTTTAGCAAAACTTTTAAAAATGTTTTATTGTGAATTATGAGATAGTTTACATGGGAGAACATTAGTTTTACATTCATCCTGTTGTATATCATTTCATTGCCATGGTTACAATCCCCTCCATGCATCATCAGCCAACCAAAGGGTATATCCTACAAGTCTGCCTCCTGGTCATCAGCACACAGCCCCTCTCCCTCTTTGGGTCTAAAATCCCCAGCCGCTCCATTTTTCCATGTCATTGGCTGTGCCTCCATCTCTGGCATCACTGCTTCTCTGGGTAGGGTCCCGCTCTCCACTTTTCTCCCTTTATGGTCCCAGGGACCTCCGCTCCTAGAGGTCCTCCCTTTGCTACAAAACGCCTACCTTTGTATTTCCAACCCTCACAATCAGTCCTAATAACAATTAATCACTATTGTATCACAAGAGACCTATCCATATTTCCTTTCATCAGCCCAGCCTAGACAGATTGGTTACTACTCAGTGGAGATTTTACTTTCCTCCACGCCCTCTGGCTCTCGGCTCTCTCTTGAAAGCTTGTAAGCCAGTCACTTCTTGCCTTTGTAGCCCCCCCATTTTGGATAGCCAGTGTCCAAGTTGCCCATCCCTGTCTACTCTGTGTATGGAGGGGGTGGGAATGATCCTTTCTTTAGCAAAATTTTAATTGCATATGATATTAATGATACTGTACAATGATTTCCACATTCCATTGAGTCACCTCTCTTTGGAATGGGCACAAATATAGATCTCTTCCAATCAGTTGGTCAGGTAGTTGTTTTTCAACTTTATTTGTATAGATGAATGAATGCGTTTAGTGTTGCATCAGTTTGCTAAACATTTTCAATTGTATCCCATCAATTCCTGGAGCCTTGTTCTTTGCCAGTGTCTCCAGTGCACCTTAGACTTCGTCCTTCTTGGTCATATGCTACCTCTTGAAATGTTTGAACATCGACCATTTCTGTCTGGTTCAGTGACTCTGTTTATTTCGTTCATCTTTTGATGCTTTCTTCATCATTCAGTTTTTTGCCCATAGAATTCTTCCATATTGCAAATCCAGACTTAAATTTTTTCTTTAGTTTTTTCGGCTTGAGAAATGCTGAGCGTGTTCTTCCCTGTTGGTTTTCTAACTCCAGGTCTTTGCATGTTTTATTATAATACTTGCCTTAGTCTTCTAGAGCTGCCCATTAAAATTTTCTGCTCAGCTCTTTGACTTCCTCATTTCTTTAATTCTCTTTAGCATCTCTCTACACTAGAGAGCAAGTTTCAGATTGTTTTCTGACATTCATTATGATCTTTTCCTTTGTTCTTGTCTTTTCAATGAGCTTTTGCTTTCTTCCTGTATGATGTTCTTGATGTCATCCCACAACTCTTCTGGTCTTTGGTCCTTAGTGTCTAATGCACCACATCTGTTCCTGAGATGATCTCTAAACTCAGGTGGGTTATATTCAAGGTCAAATTTTGGCTCTTGTGGACTTGTTTTAATTTTCTTCAGCTTCAGCCTGAACTTGCGTATGAGCAATGTAGGTTAATTCCCCACACGAATCTGGTATGTGCTCCCTCCCACCTCAGGGCTTCTCACCCAATCTGTTGCTGAAGATGCTGGATTGAGGCAGTAAGGACTGGAAGCTGGTAGGAGGTGGGGGCACACTCATGAGTCTGTGGGGTTCTGGAACTTGTCCCTTTGGGGACCCTCTGATTTCCCCAAGTGCTGTGGCATGGTGGGCTCTGAGGCAGCTGTGGCAGACACCAGCTGCAGGGCTGGCTGCTGGTCTGGGCACTCATCACCCCCACTTTCTAGGATCAGCTTGGCTGGCCCTGAGCCTGCCCAGGTACAGGTGGCTCTGGGTCACATGGTGCGGCTCTCCTGCCCAGAGGGTGCCTCCTTGGAATCCCATGCTGGGTGGCAGAAAGATGGCCAGCCCGTCTCCTCTGACAGGTGTGTTGACAGTCTTTCCCCTGAGAAACCTTTATGAGGGTCCCCTCTGATGGGAGCACAGGACCTGAGGGAGAACCAGGGCTCACTATCGCCCCCAGGAGCCCAGCTTCTCCTCCTTCCTCCCCACCATTCAGGCACAAGCTGCAGGCCGATGGCTCCCTGGTCATCAGTCGCCTGCGGGCAGAGGATGCTGGTACCTACAGCTGTGGCTCCACCAGGCCCGGCCATGTCCCCCAGCTGATCCAGCTCCGCATCACGGGTATCTGCCCCTCACCTCTGGATTCTTATGGGACTGGGTGGCCAGGTCATCTTGTAGGCCATGTCTGGAATGGACCCAGGTTGGGGTGGTAGACACCAGTCCAAGCCAGTGGACCTGGTTGAGGGTCAGGCCGCCCCATGCTGGAAAGAGTGTGTGCTAACTTGAGCCTGGGTATCCTGGAGGGCCAGGTGAGCGTGAGGCTCCTGAGGCCCTCATTCCATGCACCTGCCTCTCCTCACAGCTCACCTCTTGCTTCTGCCTGCCTCACGACAGGGGGTGATGTGGCTGTGCTGTCTGAGGCGGAGCCAAGACATGTCCCTGAGCCCAAGGACCCTGCCCAGGGCCACAGGGCAGTTGGTGGAGGTCTGGGGAACATCTCTTCCTTGCTCCCACGGCCCAGGTCCAGGTAACTACCTCCCCCACCCTGGCTGTGCAGGCTCAGTGAGTGAGAGAGGATCTTGAATCAGGTACCCAGCCCTGTGCTGTGACAGGCAGGAGTGACCTGGAAACTGAGGGGAGGAAAGAGCTCTGGGCCAGATGTCCCAAAATGGCTTTTTGGAGGAGGAGGCTGTTGAGGGCCTGGTGGCCGGTGTGCAGGGCAGGGTTAACACAGAAGGTGCTGCCCTGCCAGAAGCTAGACTTTACCCCAGGCAGTGAGGGATGAGGCAAACCAGAATATTTTAGGTGAATCCGGCTGCAGAGGGAGAGGGCTGCGAGTTTTGAATTTCGTACAGAGGGCCAGTTCCCTGGCCTCGTGGGCACTAGGGAAGCCCCTCATGACTGTGGTGTTTGTTTTGTAGGCTGCGTCTGGACCGGAACCAGCCTGGGGTGGTGGATGCCAGTCCAGGGCAGCAGGTCCAGTTGGCCTGTCATGCGGAAGGCCTCCCACGCCCAGCTATCCAGTGGCAGAAAGATGGGCAGCGCCTCTCTTCTCCCAGGTTTACTCCACTCCTGTCCACGGGGCCGCTGAGGGAGGGAGCTGACGGGCCTTCACCCTGGTTCCGCCTGAGCTACGGTGCTGGGCAAAGGGTAAAGCTTGTGGGCCTCTGGCCTTCCCTGAAGGAGCCCCGGCGGCATTTGTGGGTTAAGTATTGGGCTGTAATCCCAAGGTCAGCAGTTCAAACCCACCAACTGCTCTGCTGTCTGTTCCCATAAGGATAGATGTAAGATGGAATGAGCCGGAACACAAACACACACGTGTAAGGCTTTATTGGAGGTCAGAAGGAAAAAGAAAGGTATAGCAGGGAGAAGGATTTTTATGCTGATCGAAGAAGAGGGAGGGGTTGAGATTAGCGGATGTAGGTGATAGGTTGAGTGGGGATGACGTGCTGTTAGGGAGAGAGGAAGTTCGGGTAGGAAGAGAAGTTCTGGTAGGGAAAGCGAAAACGTGGTAAGCAGCCATTTTATTATGCATGTGGATGAGGGATTCTGTCATGCCAGCCTTTTGTTGTTATGGGTACAGGGGCGGAGGTCATTTTTTCTGGAGCTGCTTCCTGCTGGAAGGGGGCAAAAAGGAGGGAACTATGTATCTGGCTGGCTGGTCCTGTTGCTTGACAGTGGTTGGTATCCGGCCATGTGAAAGCCCTCAGGCGTTCCTGAAGAAAAATTTTGAAGACAGCGACAAACAGGCAGGGGCCAAATAACAGTATCAGGAGGATTATAGTTAATGGTCCTAGTAAGGGGAGGAGCCAAGGCCACCAGGAGGACATTAGGGTCTAACCATGGTTTGTTTAACTTGATTTTATAAAGCAAGGAGGGTGTCTGCTACCCTCTAATGTCCCTGTTCAGGGCCTCTGATAATTTTTTATAATAGATGTATGGATGTTCCTAATAAGATGGGGTTAAGATTTGGGCTGCAGGGATTAAATATGTGAGCCCACACAGGTATTGTGCGGGTAGGCATTTGAAAATCTTTTCCACATAAGAAAAATATTCCTTTTGGCCCACATATTGGGTTGCTTACCTTTGTTATGTCAGTGCACCAGGAATTTGGAAGGGAGAGGGGGAAAGGGTTAGTGGTGGTGTTGAAAGGGTTATGAATGCAGGTGAGGTTTGTGGAATTACTGAGGCTAATCTCCATGAGGAGAGGTCCTGTGTACCGTATGGTGGTTGTATTAGGATATGATTTAGGGACTGGGTCGGCGGGAATGGCTGAGTACCCCAGGTCCCTATAGGGCAAACAAGCCCAGCGTGAGGTTTTATTTCTATTTCAGTGATTAGCATGTGATGGGGTTGGCAGATGCTGTCAGAATCTGGCCACGTTCGTAGCCCTTTACATCCTGGGTCCAGCCATTGTGTGAGGTTCTTTGTGGCTTCTACATTCATCTTTTTCCTCGCTGCATCTGCCACTGCCGCCACCTCCATCTGACATCCCTATTTGGGTTTGATATGTCCAGCAGACAGGCTTGTTGCACCACCTTTTGCAAGCTGTGACTTGGTAAGCCATGCAGTTAGAGTTTGGATAGGTACCATACTCTGATTCCACAAAACTGCTTGATGACAGGTGTTTGTCCCAGATAGCAAGCAGAGTGCATAAAGGTCAGGACACTGGAGCAATCTGTGGCTGTATGAGGGGTTGAACATGTTTTGCCACTTTGGCTAAGGCACGATCTGATCATCAAGGTTGAGATAAAGAGTACGGAGAGCATACTGGGATGATGATAAATCCCACTATGAGGAGAAAGAGTAAGGCAAAGATTATTCGAGAATGGCGAGGCCACTCGGCGTGAGACAGAAAAGAGGCCTACTGCAAGAATAGTGCCGCGAAGGGGGCGAGGAAGGCTGGGTGGCAAGTTAACATGGAGGTATGTCTAATGGAGTATGTGGAGGTAGGGCTAGCCAGCAGAGGAGAAAGACTGTCAGCAGAGAGATTTCGTCTGGTGAGAAATCAGAGAAAGAGAGTGCCCTGGAGAACTAGGTCTTTGATCCAGAACAGGATAGAGTCAGGAGTGTTAGCCTTTGGAAAGAACCACTGGAGGTCCTGGCCCACCTGGTCAAGGAAGCAGGAAAAGTGGTTTACTAGGCGGGAGTCATGCATTTATTCCTCTGGGATGCGGGTGGATTTGAGTTTGGTGGGTCCCGTGAAAGAGGAAGTATAGCAGGGTTGTTGTTGTTGTTGTTGTTAAGTGCTGTTGAGTCGATTCCGACCCGTAGTGACCCTATACAGGGTTTCCGAGGAGTGATTGGTGAGCTTGAACCGCTGACCTTGCAGTTCAAATGGCTTTGCAGTCTGGCGCATTAACCCACAGCACCACACCAGGACTCCTGTAGCAGGGTATGCCAGGGTTAATATCCGATTTGGGAGTAGCTGAAACTGTGTGTGCCAGTTTTGTCCTGTAGACAGTCACGGGCTTGATGGGTGGGAAATGATTTGCGGTGCAGTGGGGATGTGGGGATGTGAGTGAGCAAGTGGGACATGTTTGAGTTATTTATTGAAGTAGTGAGGGCATTTTGGGACAGTAAAATATGGGTCGTAGGAGGCAGGGTAAGGGTTCATGCCCTATGTAAAAGTGTTGTATATATCCGTGAGGATGTATGTGACCTGTGACCTGGGGAGAATGTATAGTTCCCCCAGAAAGAATGGCTCCCTGTTGAAGCCATTCTTGTGTTTCAAGGGGGTTATAGAGGGGTGTGATAGGGGGAACAGCAAGCATTTGTGTGGACGGAGGTGGGATCATGGCCGCTTGCTTTGCTTTGCAGTCAGCCTTATTATTTCCCTGTGAGATGGGGTCATTGGTGGATTGATGACTCCTACAGTGTATGACTCCTGCTTGTGTTGGGAGTTTTGCTGGTTGAAGTAGTTGTAAGACTAGGGGACCATTGTTTATAGGGGAGCCTTTTGGGAGGTTGTGTTAAAGGGAAGAGACATGGCTTCAATTACCCTATCTGAAGATACAATGGCATAGCCAGCCTGGTGTTGGCCTGTAGGTGAGGTGATGGAACGGCCATAGATGAACCATATACAATCTGGGTGGGGCAGTGGGGTCGAGGAGATGTGGGATAGAGGGAGGAGATGATCTAGAGCTTCCGTACATGAGTGAGAGAGCTCCTTC